TACGGCGATTCAGAGCTGTGCGTTTAGTCATCACATCATTTGTCTCGCATGTCTCGGGGAATAAGAGTTTTCTTTATGAACTCATGTTCACAGCTTTGGCAGTGGATTAGTCGGGCAGACAGGAACATGATTGCTCCCGATGGGAGTCAGATGACCTGCTCTCCTTTGGATGCCTCAGAATAGTTTTGACTACTCGCTCACACTGAAACATGTTCATAAGCTCATATTTCAAAAAGACTTTGTCACTATATTAATCATAATTAAAGAGGGCTTTTGCAGCTGGTTGCTCCCGTATGATTTCACAGACCCTCCTGCAGCTGAGTTCATGAGTGCCACTGGATGTGGAGTTTATAGTCTCTCTATAAGTGACTGTTTTCCAAAAAACATTCCCTGTTCAGAAGACAGAAGCTCCACACTTTTTCCATAGCACTTCATTTTTTATAATCTTTTTCTTTAAATCATTTTATTTTACAATATAGCTAATGTATAACACTTATTATGTTGCCTGTGAAATTAAACTACATTGTAGCACATTTGCTAATCTAGACTCCTTTCTGTCCTGAAGTTTTGCAGAATCTGCCTCCTGGGGGCGGATTTGAACATAGCAGTGATATTGCTGCCTCTGTTTCATTCATTCCTGTATTACAGTCAACAGAGTATAGACATAAGTAATAACCTCTTCACAAAAACAAACACATGTCTGTCTTGCAGTTATATTGGCAGAAATATGTATACTTATCCGATGCTTAAAGTGATAGTTCACCTAAAAAATTTAAATGCTGTCATCCTTTACTCGCCCCCGTGTTGTTCCAAACCTGTATGACTTTCTTTATTCTGCAGAACACAAATAAAGCTATTTTGAAGAATGTAGGTAAACAAACAGTTTTCATTATAACTCACTTCTATTATAGACTAATTGAGAAAATAGAGTTTTTCAAGGTTCAGTGAAAGTGAATGGCTACATATATTTGGTCAGAATAACAAAAAAGAAGCAAAGAACATTGCTGTTAAGCTGTTTCATAACTCAACTTTGATATTTTAGGCTGCCTTCTAGTATAGGTAAGCATCTGAATTCTTCCAGGAAAAATGAAATCCAAAATTTAAATCCAATTTAATTAAATTTAAATTGAATTGAATTTAATCCAAAATTTAGTAAATCTATAAAAAAGAAAACTAATAATTTTGTGAATTACACTGTTAATTTTTAATTTTGTTCAGAAAATGTTTATTCATTGTAAAAAATTCTCTAATTCGTATTCATATTCTTTAAATATTATATATATATACATACACACACACACACACATATACATACATACATACACATATATATATATATATATATATATACTGTACACACACACACACACACACACATATATATATATACTGTATACACACACACACACACACACACATATATACATACATACATACATACATACATACATACACACACACACATATACACACATATATATATACTGTATACACACACACACACACACACACACATATATATATTTGTAATACCACTGATGCATAAGGAGTTCCTCTATATATTTTTACAATGTTATATTTGTTCATTTTATATTTATTTGTGTTTTATTACTTATTCTTATTTAATTTTGTTTGTGAAACTTTACATGCAGATTTGATGCAATTTTATATTCCTGTAGAGGTTCTATCCATTCTGTCTGTTCAGACACCTGTTGTTTGATGCATTAAAAAAATACAAACACATTTAAGCTATTTTTTTAATGCAAATTGAATTTTTTTTAAATTAAGTTTAGGCTTACTCATGAACAAATATGAAACAAAAAGAACAAATGTCAACCCTATTTTACAAGATATTTTTCAAATAAGTCACTCCAGTTACTTTGCTTTCCCATTTATTGACTGACTCTGGTGTCGGCATGTTGAGAAATCGGGAGTAAGTGCAGAGGTGTTGTGTGCGCTGTGTGAACATGATGTTACTGTAGTTCTAGAATGTCAACATGCATTTAGGCCTACTAATCTCACTTGCACAAAAACTAATCTCACTCACACAAAAACCATCCGCCTAGAACGGCTTCCGCCTACGACAGTTAGTGGAAGTGAGAGAAAAGTGTTTATAACATTTTAAATATGAATTTTTCTTACAAAAACATATCGAGTCGCTACAGGAGGCCTTTATGCACTCCCATTTTTGGGTGAACTAACCCTTTAAGTGTTTTTTCTTTAATTGCTAATGTGACCTTTTTACACCACAGACTGAACAAAAAATAATCATTGCTAACTGGTTGACCTAAACTGGTATTATCTAATTGTGTAATTAAATATAACAGTTGAATAATTTTTGTTTAATTTTAATCCATTGCTTCCCTTCCTATCAAAGTTATCTGACATTTTAAAGATGCTTTTTTCTGACACAGTTTAACTCGAGTTCTTGTCATATTTTATTACCATTTTCTAAACTATAGCAAATAAACTGTGATAATGTGAGAAATTTTGAAGGTGCCTGAATAATTTTTGGTTTGACTGTAAGTCCCTGGTTTGTCCAGATGTTGCAGGATGAAGTGTAGACCCAAGCAAACTGCAGGAGCTCCAGCAAGGGTCCAGTGATGTTCTTCAATTGACCACAGAGGTTAGGGCAACAGGTCTGTAGACATTATGTCCTATGATTTTGTGTTTTTTGGGATAGGGATTGTGTGGCTTATGTGATATTAAGTTTATACAACAGTTCGATGGCACAAGTGTGTAAATAAATAAGAAACCACAAAACATTCCATGTGCGGAATGAATCCTTCCACCACGGATACAAATCTCAAGTTACCAGTTTGAAGCCGAAAACATTAGAAAACGTCAATTTAGAACTTTTTAGAATTAGAATTGGTTGCTTCATTGAAATCTTATTGTATTATGTAGAGCAGAGAATTATCAGAGGTGTGTGTGATTACCTGCATTTGATACAGTATTCATTCTTCAGCTCAATATATTCACAATGAAACAGTTTGAATGTCCGCTGAGGAAAGCGATATCTTTGTCGTACTAGCCTTTCATCCGTTGAGGGAGATTTTCGATGAAAACACTGCTCAATTAATTTTCTGATAGAGTCTTTACGATGTCGAAAAGTTTAAATAACTTCTTATTAGTTATGGTCCTTTTCAAAATAAAAGTCATTGCCGCTGACTCACTCATTAAAACAGTCGCCATCTAATGGCGGAACAATGTAAGAAAAATGACCATCACTACAAACTGGGCTGCGTTTCCCAAAAGCATAGCAAGCCAAAATTGATCGTTGAACCATTGTCACCAATGGAGCTACGATCAACTTAGGCTTACCATGCTTTTGGGAAAGGCAGCCCAGGCCGTTTCTCAATACCAAATATTATTATTAAATAATACTATTATTAAATAATAAAATGTGTGTTTTTCTGTAAACGTTTTATATACAATATACTGAATATTTAATTCTAATATATTAAATTATATTAATTATATCAACTATCATATAATTTATAATAAAATTTGCGCCCGCACACACACACAGTCTATATAGACGTATGGGCATATTTAGCCACAATTAGCTGATTTAAAGCCAAAGCCAAAAAATTATTAACAACGATCACAATAAAAAAAGTTATAATAATATAATAAATATATTATAAATACATTTCTAAATACTCACTTTTGTTGTGCTAAAATGCTGTGTGTGAAAAAAGAAAATCCAGAAAGACACATCTGAGTAAGAAATGAGCTTTAGTATTTATTTTTCCTAAAACAATTGGAACACATGCTATCTGTACTGATATGGAATCTATTATTCAATGTAATAGTTGTACACAGATTTTTTTCATTTCTTGTAACAATCTAAAAATGTTTTCCAGGTTTAAACCCAAAGTTGATCACATTTTTGCCCACATGTTCATTGGAATACCTGAGTGAATTAAGAAGATGATTGGTCAAAGTAACTACTGTTGTCTTTAGGCTGATGAATAGCAGAACTGTACAGGCCATTCCTTATTCTTAAACCAACAATCAGCTCCGAACATTTTATTAACCAATCACGTGGCAAGGACCCAAATCAAGTCAATTTAGAACTTTTTAGAATTAGAATTGGTTGCTTCATTGAAATCTTATTGTATTATGTAGAGCAGAGAATTATCAGAGGTGTGTGTGATTACCTGCATTTGATACAGTATTCATTCTTCAGCTCAATATATTCACAATGAAACAGTTTGAATGTCCGCTGAGGAAAGCGATATCTTTGTCGTACTAGCCTTTCATCCGTTGAGGGAGATTTTCGATGAAAACACTGCTCAATTAATTTTCTGATAGAGTCTTTACGATGTCGAAAAGTTTAAATAACTTCTTATTAGTTATGGTCCTTTTCAAAATAAAAGTCATTGCCGCTGACTCACTCATTAAAACAGTCGCCATCTAATGGCGGAACAATGTAAGAAAAATGACCATCACTACAAACTGGGCTGCGTTTCCCAAAAGCATAGCAAGCCAAAATTGATCGTTGAACCATTGTCACCAATGGAGCTACGATCAACTTAGGCTTACCATGCTTTTGGGAAAGGCAGCCCAGGCCGTTTCTCAATACCAAATATTATTATTAAATAATACTATTATTAAATAATAAAATGTGTGTTTTTCTGTAAACGTTTTATATACAATATACTGAATATTTAATTCTAATATATTAAATTATATTAATTATATCAACTATCATATAATTTATAATAAAATTTGCGCCCGCACACACACACAGTCTATATAGACGTATGGGCATATTTAGCCACAATTAGCTGATTTAAAGCCAAAGCCAAAAAATTATTAACAACGATCACAATAAAAAAAGTTATAATAATATAATAAATATATTATAAATACATTTCTAAATACTCACTTTTGTTGTGCTAAAATGCTGTGTGTGAAAAAAGAAAATCCAGAAAGACACATCTGAGTAAGAAATGAGCTTTAGTATTTATTTTTCCTAAAACAATTGGAACACATGCTATCTGTACTGATATGGAATCTATTATTCAATGTAATAGTTGTACACAGATTTTTTTCATTTCTTGTAACAATCTAAAAATGTTTTCCAGGTTTAAACCCAAAGTTGATCACATTTTTGCCCACATGTTCATTGGAATACCTGAGTGAATTAAGAAGATGATTGGTCAAAGTAACTACTGTTGTCTTTAGGCTGATGAATAGCAGAACTGTACAGGCCATTCCTTATTCTTAAACCAACAATCAGCTCCGAACATTTTATTAACCAATCACGTGGCAAGGACCCAAAACAATTCTTTTCGTAGCTATAGTAAACAATAATTCACCCATTTCAATATTATTGTCAGTAATACCCTGAGCTATGTAGACTTAACCCAGTTCCTGGGTCTAAGGCCAGTCGACTGCAATTCCAGCTTCTGGCTCTTCTCAGTGGCTCTGGGAGAAAACTGCTATTTTTTACTTGGAAACACCAGCGGCTGACTGTGGACTTGGCCAGAGCACAGGCAGGCCTGCTTTCCATGAGACACTGTGCGCTAAAGTTGTTCCTATGTTCAACTAATCTGTTTGGGATGTGAAATGTAGCACACACATTAGACTTAAGCGATACTATCAGGGCGCTTTATCATACTGAGACGTGAGGCAGCTAGAAGTTTTTACTATCATACATCTGCTCGGGTTCCACAGTTCATTTTGGGGTAAAGCCTCTATGTAATATTCTCAAGGCACAATAAGCTTGTTACTGGACGTTGTTTTGACTTCGCTTTCCTTCTAAGAAGCACAGAGCGTCGTACTGTTTGTGCTAGACCTGGACTTCAATCCTGTACAGCTTATATTTAATCAAGTATTTCAAATAACAATTACACACATTTTTGAAACAAGCAAACGTATCTTACATATCTACAGTCAGATGTGTAATTGGTGCAATAATGTAACTAGTACAACAGCAAGCACTATATTACATATAGTATATCGTTACTGAATATGGAGGCTATATTTAGACGTGTTTATATAAATATAGATATACATAGATTTATATGTACATGTTTTATATTCAAATGTTGCATGAAGCATAAAATAAATAAACAAGGTGATTGATATGATTTGCAAAATAGAGATGCTGTATTAGAACTAAAATAAAAGCAATTCTACAAAATTAACAATCTGTCCTATAATATGGAGTATCAAAAAAGTTGCACCACATTTACCCTGCAAAATGTGCTGGAATGACTGTGGAGATGTGAGGATGGATGGGTTGAATTAAGAGGTCTGCTGAGTCTGTGAAGTGGGGAATTGGGGTGTCATGGTCAGTTTAGGTGATCCTGCTATTTCACCTCCGAATGTCGCTGATCTTTGAGTGTTCCTGCTCGGCGGGGCCGGCCTCTAAACTGGCGCGGCGTGGGCCTTGGCTCCGACTTCTTGTGTGGGAACTGAAGCCGACCTTGCCGGGTTTGTCCTTGTCTCCTGTTCGAGCGCTCTTGTGGTGCTCGGCGTCTGACTGGGAGGAAAGCGCCGGGCGTCGCTCGAGGCCGCCTGATGCTGGAGCGGCGGTGATGGATGTACAGATGCTCAGGCTGTCGCACAGAGCGCCCCAGTTCTGCTCGCACTGCAGACGCACGCTCCGCGTAATGGCTTCCTTCACCTCCTCTCCACAGCTGAGCAAGATGTTCACCAGCTCGACGTATGGCCTAAGAAAGCGGGATGATAGCGGTCAGTCCAGGCCTGGTTCTACGGGGGTGCTAAGCACCCTCAAACAAAATCAATAGCACCCTCAGTTAAAGCTGCATTAATGGCATTTCATTGCAGATTTGGCAAACTATCCATTGCGTTATGGTTTGGGCTCTGGAGATTGATTTCTGTTTGCAGCGTTGAGCAATGTAGCCAATCACAGACATATCTGTTGATTTCTTGAATCAGAGGCTTTAAAGATACAGTAGAATCCACTCACCACTCAAATCACCGGAGTTTTTGTTCAGGTATTGTGTTCAGCACGAATCATCTCATTATAAAAAAAATGTAGACGCGATGTAAATAAGAGATTCATTGTGCAGCATAGAGAACATTGATTAAAACGTGTCTTTGTGAGATCGCGATGAACTAAGATGAGTGACAGCTTTTTAGTGATTATAAACGGAGCGCTCTTTGCACCATAGCAACGGACGCCACTAATATATATAGATATTAGTGGTGTCAAACGATTAATCGCATCCAAAATAAAAAATTTTGTTCACATAATATATATGCGTGTACTGTGTATATTTATTATGTATATATAAAAACAAACACATGCATGTATATATTTAAGAAAAATATGTTATGTTTATATATTAAATATATATAATATAAATTATATGAATGTAAAAATATGCATGTAAATATTTTCAAAATATATACTGTATGTGTGTGTCTTTATATATACATAATAATATACACAGTACACACACATATATTGAGTAAACAAACTTTTATTTTGGATGCGATTAATCGCGATTATTCGTTTGACAGCACTAATATATATATATATATATATATATATATATACACGCACATGCATACAGCATATATATTTTAGTGCTGTCAATATTAGCGCTCTAATGCAGACGATTAGTTTTTTTTCAGTTTAACTCAATTCAATTAGTAGAGACTTTAAGACCTGAAGTGGGTCAGAATAGGTAAAGAGAGATGCGTCAGATCAGATGAGTCTCACATTCAGCAGCGGAAGCTCTTAAAGAATTAGCAGCCGAAAAACCTAATAATCAGCTGCTGTGATGTCTATTAATCAAAGATCAAAAGGAAATCAATAACTTTTGTAGCTTTAAGGATTCATCTATTTAATTTATAATTTAGTGTTTTTAACTTTATTCAATTTCTGTGTATTTCCTACTTGCTGAAGGGCACAGGTAACTAAATATGACATTTATTATAATGGGTTTATGTGAAGATTGTTTTAAGTTCACTTAAATTAGAAGTTATTTTAAGTAGTCTAATAAATGTTAAAATTGATAGCTCTTGTGATGTTGAATGGCTGTAGTCAATGGTTAAATATCAGGGGGGAAAAACAATTTCCTAGAGACATCAGTAGTATTGGTATCAGTGATACTGGCCTTCAGTCATAAAAAAACATGCCATTATACAAATATTACAGCTATACTGTCTTTATGTTGTTTCTACATTAATGTGAAGATTGAATGTGAAATAACTGCAATGTAAAAGTATTTTTAAAAACTTTAATGTTAGGTGAGATATATATATATATATATATTAAGGTTGGAGCACCCTAATTTAAGTAGCACCCTCAGTGATTTGATTCTGGAGCTGGGCCTGTGTCAGTCGCGGTTAAAGTCAAGCGGGCGAAAGCTTGCCAGCACTGCTGCTCTACTTCAAAATGACCGACTCTGCTCCCTGTTGTCCTCATATGTTCATTATAGGCCAGTGCTGGAAAAGACACTGCAATGACAGTTTATGTCGCTGTACAGTGACTGTGTGGACCTTTCATGAAATGCAGCTGCTCCTCAGACTCAACACGGAGTGTGATTAAATGAATTAACTAAACTTGTGCCTTAAGCCGTGAGCCATGCACTTCAGTGCATCCTTGATGAAGGACTTGCCCTGTGAGTGTTTAAAACAGAGTCTTATCAGTCATAAACAGCCTTTCTTTCTCTGCTGGGATAACATGGACTAATAGTATGACTGTTTTTGCTAGACACACATCTTGAGACCGCGTTATAAGCGTCTCTGCTTCAAATCCACCTGCACCTTGTGAAACACGAGCCAGGCTGGAGGCGGTGCCAGTCGCTGGGCCATCATCTGGACGCATCTGAGGGACATGAACCCCGTGGGTGACTGGGGCAACCATGTGCTTACCTGCGAGTCGAACTTGCCAGCATTGTGCAGGAAGGTCATGCAGATTTCCTGAAGGCCCCGGATTTCGCAGGAGTTGTTCTCGAAACACTCGAAAACGCCGCAGCCCACGTCTCCTGCGCTCACGAGACAGTGCTGGATCTCAGCTGCGGAGGATAGAAAGACAGAGCATGCTGTTTAAAGCTAAATAAAGAGTTTGCGTCACTCGATTTTGGCCGATCCAAAGCGATCTCTACAACAGGTCTATGTTTAAATAAGAAATAAAAATGCTTTAGAAATATACTTTGCATAACCTTTTACACATGAATGCGGAAGCCTATTTTCCGGCTTTGTTTCTTCTGTGAAAATTGAAGAACTGTATTTAGGGGACAAATTTAGCTGAGAGCGCGCTGTGGTAATTAAGGTATGCCATTAAAGTCCATCAAACTGGGAGGCATCTTGCAGTAACCGCCTGAGATGTGGAAAAGCAAGGTTAACTGTATATAGGGCAGGACGAGATTGCTTTTACCTTGCTGAAGAGATCAGCAATGACTACTGAGATTCAGAAAAAGAACCAGGGAAATATAACAAGAATGTGAATCTTTTCGACTTGAAAAAGCAATTCTGATACACAAAGGAGCACTTTATTCGCTTATTTAGAGATTGCAAAAGCACTGATGAATGTTTGATACATTAGATCAACTCACAACTCATTGGCAGCAGTATTTATGAAATAGTTTGTGATGAGTCTGTTAGTCGTGTCCTACTAAAGAAGAGTAGTAAGAGAAAGGCTGCATGAACTGCATTAAATATTTAAGTTTTACAACTGCAACTAGAGGGTAAACACAAACATTATGTAAACTGGCCATTTAAAGACTTTAATTTTAAAATGAACAAATCCTGTGCAGTAATAAGACAAAAATGATTAAATATGTCATGGTATTTGCTCTAATGCAAGGCGTAACAGTTAATAAAAGTTACTGTGAAATTCAAACCCCATCGTGTTCCGTAAAAAAGCCAAAGTATAAAGCATAAATCAGTTCATGAAAAGTAAAAAGCTCTGCAAACTGCCTGCACTTATTATTTTTTTTATGTTATTTCTAGGGACCTCGCAATGGCTACTTCAATCCTCATGCTTTTGTAAAGAGATTAAATAAAAATACAGACCGACTGTCTATTTCTAACGTGACATTATATGAGCCAATCTAACTGTTAAACACATGAGCACAACAATGTCTGTCTTCACCAAAAGGAGATCATCAGAGCCAGATCATTCTCTGAATATCTCCCTTTTTTGTTAATGTTTGTGACAAAAGACGTGTGGTTATTATTTGAACACAAAGATTCCCAGATTCGAATTTTTGAAATGTTCTAAATGAAATAGTAGGCTATTTCTATTATACCTGAATGTTCTGATTTAGGTATTCCAAAAGCTTTTCGAGTTTTCCTAAAGCATTTCAGCTTTACAGAAAACAGGTTTTTAAGGTCTTGTATATGAATACTACCCAATATCAGTGTAAATGCATTGCAGTGGATCTCTGCTGATGGAGGTGCACAGGTAAAGTGAGGACGTGTGGATCGTGCGTGGAATCACACAGTACTGAGCTCTTCTGCTGTAATAAACTAGACTGGGCCAGTCCCGTGCAAAAGTTGAAACGATTTGATGCCTGACATCGCTGCTGTATTTCATTGTCATAATGCACGGGATTAAATTGCCTTTCTGCCGTGAGAACGGTTAAGTTTGACCCACCTAGTGCAACACGTAGAGCCATTGCATCACTCCACACTACAGGTTTAACTTGCTCGCCCGCACAATGCAACAAAAGTTGCGCACGTTTATATTTGATACTCTTTATAATGAGCACTTTGCATGGCAGTTAATAATAAAATACGTGCGTAAACACGAATCCACGAAAATAAGACGCACGCGCGAACCTGACAGCAATGTCACCGTATATCTCTGCCTACCTTGTGCCACGCTATTAATAGTTTACGAAGATATTGGATTTCTCTGCGTGTGCTCCGTATTTACGAGTTATCGTCTTCCTGCGTATTCGGAAAATGAGATGTGCATTGGTCGGTTTTGCGCTGAAATCGCGTTCTGACCGCACAAGACTCAGTCTGGAGCGCGATCGATCGCAGCTTCGCAACACTTGCTTTCTCTTACCTGTGTTCTGTAAGGAGAGACGTCCCTTCTGACTGGCCGGCTTCTCAGGGTGACTCTCGTGAACGTCAACGGTATCCGTTCCCACCAATTCCCCCCAAACGGAGACAAGCAGCAAGGCTAGTGCGCATTTGATCAACATTTCTCCACTCAGTTTGCGCGATAAATAATAACAGGCTGTCAGCGCGGGATCTGATGTGGAGACTGTCGAGATGACACAGGGAGCGTGTGTGTGAGAGTGGAGAAGGGATGGATGCTGGATATATTTCCCAGAGTCCGGGTGTCAATGTGGATGAGGGAGTTAAGCAGGTGTTGTCAGTCGCGCTTCCCGACCAATCAGAAACGCAGACCACCACGTCCAAGTTTTAGGGGTGTGTCTGGCGAAAGTTGTCTCTACTTGACATAAACTAAGCTTGTAAAATGTGCAAGGGTGGGTGAGTATTTACTCTACAAACGCTTATTGGGCATCAGACAGCTGTAAGGACAAGAGCACGCGAGCCTGTGATTATAGGTGATTATTGCTGTTAATACTGTAACTGATGGATTTATAGAGGAGCGAATATGACTCAAATCTAAAAGGAAGCGTTTATGAAATGTTGCATTTGCAATGCATGAATTTCTAGATATCTAGTCACAAAGAACTCCATATCTGTAATAGGAAATATTTTTCATGAAAGAAATAAAAACAAATTGCACTGACCACTGCTGTGACTATAGCTGTTTCAATTACACAAAATATATATTTGAAAATTTAAGCTTAGCATGTTGTGTTCACATGCTGTTTATATAATAGAAGCATTACATAGAGTGCAACTAAATAATCAATTCTTTATAAATCAGTTGGATAGATATAAATACTATGTACAGTAAATACATGGAATCTATTAAAACAATGTCCACAATTGACATAATATACACAGTGTATGCTCCATGATCTTAATAAGTATGAAGAAGAGGTAGAAAGGATTTGAGGATTTCCAAAAACCCTTCTAAATAAATAAATATGGCACTGACAGGGAATGGCACCTTCTGTTCTGCTTGCTGCTGGTATATTGGTGACCCAGCAGATGAACATGAAAAAAAAGGAACATAATGATTATGTGAGTTTTTACTTTGCAGTTTTTGAAAACTCACCAGTCGACACAGCTAATTATATAGTCCCGCTGTCAAAATGTGCTCCACGCGGCGCAGAAAATGGGACAAATTAGCTAATGGATGGCAGGGATTGCATCATTCAAACCACCCCCGCTAGGCAGCTGCCATACACAGACAAAGCAACACAAAAGGCATATAGACATGTGTGCACATCTGACTGTGACACACACATGCACAGCATATATAGGCACGCCGCTGAATCAGAGCTTTGATGTTATTAAGCCTCATTTTATATTTCTTGCAATGAATTCTTAGATCAAATCAATCCCATAACTGCGTTCACTAGTAATCACCCAATTATGAAATTTTGATAATTACATAGAACACATCTATTTTGATTTACTCTTTGGTGACTATGGTTTATGACAATACTCTGATGGGATCCAATTCAAGCCATGCAAATCTATTGCAAATGAGAGATATGCCTCAAATGGATTGCAGGCCATTCTCATGGATGTGGTACTACTAAGAAACTGTCAGTATGGCAAGCTAAGTTATCACTCCTAGAATCTAATTTTATTTGATTAATCTTTTTTTATTATTATTAGTTGTACGTAATCCAGTAGTGACTAATAAGTATTTCAGTTTCACAATTAACTGTTTATTAGATACATCAGTTAAGCCTCTGCCATTTTAGGATGTCTGGTCTTATTTTGTATAAATTTACTTTGTTCTATATTTTATACAGGTTTATTGTCTGTATTTTACCCTATATGTTGTGTAATAATGTGTTGTTTTAATTGTCATTTATTGGCTATTTAGTTATACTAATAGTTAGACTAATAGTATAATAGTATACTAATAGTACTAATAGTTAGACTAATAGTATACTAATAGTATTTAGTTTATAGTTTTCTAGTTACTATCTCCATAATAGGCAAGCACATTTTTTATGACAATATAACGTTACCAGTAACATTTCGTTAACATTTTATTTTAAGGTGTCCTTGTTACACCTAAACAATAAATTATGTATAATTACATGCAAGTAACCCTAAGCCAAACCCTAATCCTAACTCTAACCATATAGTTAATTAATATTGCTCAGTACATAAATGTATAACTACACTGTAACATGGACACTTTAAAATAAAATGTAACCAACATTTCTTATCTCACTAGTTATACTTGCATTTTACTTGTTATATGTAATTACTAGTGAGAATGGTTACTTAATATTTCAAATAAATTACTTACTATTGTGATTACAAATTTTATACCAACAACTGGAATAGTTGCTAAATTAGGTGCAGCAGTTACTACTATCAGGACAGAATCTAGTTAGGGCTGCCACCTTCAGCAAGGCAAAATAAGGGACACCCTTTCACAACCCCCAACCCCCCACCCCCCCCACACACAGAAACAAAAACAAAACAAGGACACAAATAATCAGTGAGGGACTCATACCTCAACAAAACAACAAACCATGAGAAAACATGTTCAAGTATGTAAACTTCCAAAATATATATGACTTAATTTCAAGCAATAAATGTTACAACAGCTTGCCATACTGAGAATTGAGAATTTCATGTGCGGCCACCCGTAGGCGAAAAAATAGATGAACAGCGCTGAAGCTGCAGACAAATATTTGGACAACACACTCTTGTGCTGAGAGGAGAATAAAACATGGTTAGACTGTCAAAGCTTTTTTATAGGCTATTAAGCACTTCAAATGTTATTGGCAAGATTATTCACAACAGAAAGCCTATAAATTAAAATCTGGTATTTTAGTTCTCTAAGCTTTGCTTTCCAGGAAATGAAAGAATGAATGCTTCTGTGGCTTCAAGGGATGCATAATGTGCCCATACTCTGCTATATGGCATTCTGGCGAGACTCTGTGTGTTGCTTTACCTTTTTGGTGCGGTGGTTTAGTTTGTGCAGTGAGTCTATAAGTCAGAGTCTGTAAGAAAGCCAGTCCATGATGTGCACACACCCTCGGTATCCACCAATCAGCATGCGTTCACAGACCGCAACCTCGTAATGACGCGTGTCACCACAGACGACTGGAGCGCCGAAAAGGGTACTGATGGTTTATCCATATATTTTGTACTTCTGTGATGCCTAAAAGCGTGTCTCAAAGAGAGAGAGAGAGAGAGAGAGAGAGAGAGAGAGAGAGAGAGAGAGAGAGAGAGAGAGAGAGAGAGAGAGAGAGAGAGCGAGCGCACCGTGGCAGCCCGAAATGTGCTATTACTGAACGAAAAGATAGCCTATATTTATTTTAATGCACTTTCAACATGACGTCTACATCATAATTTAAAAGAAGAGGTGCAGTCATCTGGCATTATCAGATGCCTCTCAATAATTAAAGGCAATCACATCCGCATAAACGGGGATGAAGCAGACCAAAACCATGTATAAAATACATAAACATCTCTCAGGAGGGTCTTTAATCATGCTGTAATTTATGTCTTGCGTTCAGTCACTGTGTTGCTGGAAAATGCCAGCCTTGCTCACAGATTGCATGAGGCTGTCAACAAGAGTGCTTATTAATTCTCTCTTGGCAGTGACGGTCTGTTAAAATGTGAGCTATCATATTGAAATGCATCAATTTCTGTTTTGCTTAGCTTGCTAATCCCATCAGTCCATCATCATTTTGGACTAGTGTTGCTTCGAATCCTTCTACGAAATGAAAGGCTGCATCTTCTGACTCGGTGGTAAATTTTTAATCAGCGATTTCTCTGATCTACCTGCTAATGTGCCCTGACATCACGATGATCAGGTGTTATTGATAAGAGGACTGTGCTGTGCCGGGCTGGAAGCGTCTCGGATGTCCCATTAATCCCACATTCCAGGGGGCTCAGTGTGATCCCGGGTGAAATGGAGAGGGCCCAGGAAGCTCGGTGACCTGGAAGCAGAGAAGGAGACCAGGAATCTCCGAGCTTCTTCCAGGAACCGTGACGGTGGAGAAAAAAAGATATGCGAGTATCAGCAGGTCATAAAGCACTCCGACTCGCAATGCCGTTGCGACATGAAAGCTTGCTCAACTCACCTGACTCGTGAAAAGAGCGTTTTTTACAAGCCGAGCACAATGCGCCAAAATGCACTTTCATTCCAAATGTGTGAAAATAGTGCCTTGGACCCCAGCTTTTACTGGCTTTGAACAATGTGCTATTATAGAGTGTTTTTTATGCTGTGATTTATATTGCAGCAGTGTTGGCAGATTACAGCCAAGCCCTCCAGCTCATTACAGTCTGTGTGGCTTTCCCACTGCAGCACAATAGACTCAGTGATGCTGCCATGTGACCCTTTACCTTGCTTGCACTGTCGATCAGGAGAGGGGTTGATGTCATCTGCTTTTGGAAAGCTCCGGGAAGGACACACTTTCGGTGTGGGAGGTGGGTCAGCGATGCGTCAGGACACAATGGGAACCTGGAAAGCGATTCGGGTCGGTGGCATGAATTACGGAAAGGCTTCTGTTATGCAAGGCGAGACTTGGATTTCAGTGGGTTATGCTGTTTTGAACCCATAACACAGGATGCTAAATTTATCTCCGTGGAGGGCCAAAGACAACAAGCCAATGCGCTGTGACACACTTACTCCTCATTAGAGATGAATAGCACATTGTGGTGGGTCTGAGATCTCAGATGATCATTAAAACCTCTCCTCACTGCTGTATTTACTCATTGTCAATCAAGAGAAGATTGTGTGCCTCGTGACCCACATTCGCTGAAGTGAATAGCCACCGGATGGGGAACGAACTGACAATGCTCAGGAAAGAGCATAAGACTGAGAGCTTCTCCTTGTCGTCAAGAGTTGCTTTGTCCACATTCACCCTCTGACATGAATGGCAATAGGAATGAACACAAGTTTGAATAGTTAACAGGTGAACATAGGCTATATTTTAAGTATTTCTTTCTCTAATAAACATGGTTTACAAATCACTACAGCATCATTTCCCAACACACTAGTAAGCTACCTTACTATTTACTACTACTAAAACTAGTTGCGCTACAGTCCAGTGTATTTACAATTACAACAATACAATAATATAATATGATAAGAAATACCAGTTTGCAATATCAAGTAGCATAATGAGCTGTTTTGTAAAGCTAAAATAACTGGAAGCGAATGACAGCGGAAGCTTCACACATTTAATGGCTGCACCCATTCTTACGTTAAAAATAACATGGATAACACAGAGAAA